CTGTTGGAACGCTGGCCACACAATGAACGAATTTGATCAGAAGCTGCATCGGGGAGAGAGAGAGAGAGAGAACTGTGGCTCACCAGGAATCATCGGCGGCGGTCGTCGCCGTTGTGGATCCCAGATGAGGACGAGCCAGGGAAAGGTAGAGCAGCAGGAAGCCTAGGGTCATCATGAGGTACATGGCGGCGACAAAACTGCGGAAGTCCGTGGGCCGCTGGCAAACGAGAAGAATTCCTCCGGTAGCGAAGCAGAGCACGAACTTGGCAGTGTTGAGCAGTCGGTCAGCTGAAACCCTAAGCTCGATGATGGAATTTGATCAGAATCTGTAACGGAGAGAGAAACAAGATCAGGAATTGTGGCTGACCAGAAGCCAACGGCGGTGGTGGCGACTGTCGATCCCAGCTGTGGACGGCCCAGCGAGAAGTAGAGCAGCAGGATGGCCGCGAGCACCAGGACGTACATGGCGGCAACAAAATTGGGGAAGTCCATGGGCCACTGGCAAACGAGAAGAAATCCTCCGGCGGCGATGCTGAGCACAAACTTCGCGGCCCGGAGAAGTTGCACAGCTGAAACGTTTGCCATGGTAAATGAAATATAATAATTCTACAATTTTGCGTGAAATATAATAGACGATCGAGAATGGAAGATCAACTGCGAAAGGTGTGTCTTTAAATAGAGATAGCTGGGGTGGGGTTTTGCGTGAAATATAATAATTCTACAATTTTTTTTAATGGAAATATAAAGCTAAAATCAGAATAAATATATTTTTTTATAGAATATCGATCATATGATTTAATCAGCAATCAATTTATCCACAGGATATTCATAATATATTCAATAGATTACTTACATAATTTATATATTTTTTAAAATTGATATAATCATATATTAGTTAAAAAAAAATTAATAATATATATATATATATATATATATATATATTATTTAAATTATTTTCAAATATAATATCAAACATATATTTTTCGTATTTTTCATAAATCAATAATGCTTGCATCATATCACTATGTTCCTTTGCAACAATAAAGTCAAAACTTTGTTTTGTCAAAAGGACAAGTTTTGGCAGTAATGACTTTCGGCATAGAATTGCCAACGATCGTTCTTATACGGAAGATAATTTTACATCTTGATCTTATCATCTTTGAATAGGAAGTCGAAGAACAATTAGGATACTTTGTCACCGTGCACGCCATTTTGTAATGTCTGTTCTAACCTCGACGACGAGTTATCAGACTTTTGGATGAGAGCAATCGAGAATATTCGGAGCCGATGTTTCGGTGTCCAATATGTGAGAACAGCACTGTGCACCAAACAGATTGTCATGACATCATCTGTCGTACTCAGAATGCGCATACATTTATGCTATTTAGTCGTCCACTTTGACGTTCCGCCCAATCGACAAAGCGGCGACGAAGTCAATTAGATAAAGAGAAGTGAGAGCTTTCTCTTAGAAGTCAATCAAGAGGCACATTAGTCAAACCTTGAGTGATCTTCGGCGAGTACCGAGTGCTCTTCCATTTAGACTTGTGACTGACTTGAGCTGTGACAGTTGATCCAGACAGTTTATCCGCACGCTTCAAGTACATCTCATAATCAGTCAGCTTATCATAGAGATCTTCAAAAGAGACTGGCGAGTCGTGTGCCCGAATTGCAGCAGCTAATTCCTTGTAGTCGGTGTCGAGACCATTGAGGGTATAAATGATAACCTCTTCATCACATAGGGAATGACCTATCAAGGCCAAGTCATCAATGATAACCTTGATATGTTGTAGATAATCAGAGATAGTACTTCCCTCTTGTTTTGTCACCATAAGCTTGGATAGAAGACTAAGCTTGCGAGTACGCGAATGATTTGCCAAGGTGGTTTGCAGTATAGATCATGCATCGGCAGCTGTCACACATGAAGATATCAAGGGAGCAACGGATCCAGCAACTGAAGCTTGAATAGCTTGGAGGATGAGACGATCTTGACGTAGCCACAGTTTGTGAGCTGGATTGGGTACTGGACTGGGATCGCCGGGGATATTGAGCATAGCCGGAGGACAACTGAAAGAACCATCAATGTAACCTAACAAGTCGTATCCAAATAAAAGATTAGAAAATTGAGCTCGCCAGGACGCATAGTTGTCACCCTTTGATAACTTAAAGGGGATCAGCGCGGCAGCATTGATGGAGATAAGCCCTGCAGAAAAACAAGAAGTGGGAGTCCCTATAGGAACTGAAATATCAGAAGAAGTGAACGAAGACATTTTTTTTGTTTTTTTGTTTTTTTATTTTTTTATTTTTTATTTAGAAGAGATGCAGCAAACCTTGTGTGATACTCAGGTCACACAAGGAAGACGTGACAGTGAAGGAGGAAGACGTGACAACTGTCGTTAAGTAAGGAAGATTGAACGAGGAAGACACCGCTGTTCGCCATTCGTCGCTATTGAGGAGGAGGACACCGCCGTTAAGGAGGCGCCATTGTGTAGAGGGAAGCGGCAACGAAAACTGCTGTGGTAGAGGAAGATGCAGCAGTTGCGACTGCTGCTGGTCGGGAAGCGAGGAAGACATCGCTGTTCGCCGTTCACCGCTATTGAGGAGGCAGTGAGAGAATGTTTTCCTCCTTGCGTGACGGCGACGGAGAGTGTCTGCTGTAGGCAGCAAATAAGAGAGGGAGCAAGGCCGGCGAAGAAAAGCAAGACCGACGATGAAGGAAGAGAAGGAGTGGATGAGCAGAGCCAAGACGGTGCTCGTTAGCACTGGCTCTGAATCCGTGTCTTGTGCTTCTTCAATGACTCCACTTGAGGCAGCAGGTTAGAAGGGAGAATTTTCCTCAACAGGTTAGAGGATTTCCCTCAACATAAAAGTTTGAGGTAGTATTGTTGGAAATAAGCTTTTTTTTTGTTTTTGTATGTGTGTGTTTGTGTGTGTATAAAACATTACCGATCAAAAGCACTACTATAGGAACGATTTTGATTCACGATTAGATTGTGTTGTATGATTGTATCCTTCTTTGGATGTGCTTCTTTGTTACTTGGTTGATTTTGATATTACAATGATTTGATGGTTTTGGATAACTAGATTTTGTCTCTATAATATACCTTTTTTTATTTGTTTTGATGCCAATAATTTTGTCTCTGTAATATAATTTCGTTGTTTCTTTTTCTAGTTTTGATTTTTTTTCTTATTTTCTCGAAAACCTTTATTTCAATTTACAAATCGGCCATTCCCCAATTAAAGAGAGACTGATGCTCGTACGACTTTACATTAACGATCGAATATTAGGGTGATTTGTGTATTAATTTTAAATGTTTGACTTCTCGTACATCCTTTGACTGCATTAATTGCATGACGTCGACCGAATTGCACTTTCTGAAGATAATAAAAATACGGTAATTTTGAGAGTATATATATATATATATATATATATATATATATATATATACTAATTTTTCATCGTACTTTGTTTTAACCCGATTAAAGATGACTTAAATACTGATTTCTTCTATTCCAATGGATTTTTATATCTTAATTTAATTAATATTTCATATTAGACAGGGTTAAGTTAAATGGAATATCTTAATTTAACTTGAGAAATATTTGATTTATCTCTTTGACTGAAATATTCCACGAAGCCATCATGTCATTAACTCTTCTAACGACAAAACCCAACGAAACGATCCCGTTCTGTTCTCCCCTAATGTCGTCATAGTAGAGAAATATGCCGTAACATTTTCTCGAACCACAAATGTTTGACATATTATGCTGCTTATGACGAAATGGTAATCCGAATAGATTTTAGATCGGTTTAATTTTGAAATTTATAAATTATTTTAGTTCAAGATTAATTTTTTTCAATTCGGTTAATTGAACCGAATCAAATTGATTTTAATTTAAAAAATTGTTCTGATCAAATTTATTATCTTAAGCTCATAATGAGTTCGATCGATTTAATTAAATCGGTCCAAAGGCTCTAGTAATAATGTTAACTCAATTTAATTTTATAATTTCATAAATTACATGGGTTTCATTTCATAAATCTTATTATGTCAGTTTAATTAGATCAATATTTTAATTCAATTTAATTAAATATATAAATTTAAATTATTAAAAATGATAAATTGATTAATCTATTTTTGAACTAATTCAATTAGGTAGGTATGAAACAATTTCGATTCAAATATATCTTATTTTAACCTAATTAAATCAAAAATTAATTTGATTCGATTGGAACCGATTTGAACACCCACCAAAAATAATATGACCTCAACCAAATTGATCTAACAATAATCATTTTGGTGCCATTGAGATGTTGATTCGTGAAGGTATACTCTTTATTAGAGTTATAAATCTAAACCTATATGACCGATCCGATCAGAAAAATCAAGAATCAAATTGGTTCGCTCATTAATTAAACTGTTTGAGTTTTTCAAAGATAGTAAAATACTTTCAATTATTTATTTGTTTCAAAAATAACAATTTTTTTTCTCAATGTCATTTAGATTTTTTTTTATTATAGGTATGAGAAAAAGAAGAAAACATTACCATTTTCATTAGGTTTTAATCAACTGAATGTATTTGCTCATTCTCCGTCCCTAACAGCCTACGACTAAAATAAGGATCGGTGGCACAGTGAGACAATCCCGACACGATTTTGGTAAATCTATCGGTTATTGATAAAACATATTTCGAATCTCGGTCACATCATGATTCACACCACGTCACACCCCTACAGATTCCACACAAGGGTCACCTCCCTCTCATGTCGAGCCTAAGCCCATACAAGAAGACGTTCTCTTGGCAAGTCCTGTCCCGGAAAGCTCGGGACGACACCACATGGCATCGTTCCGTGCATATCGAACAACGATCGCCATATCAAATCCATGTACGATTGGCCCTCGGACAATAGTATAAAAGCCTCCGACCGACATCTAACCAAGGGGGAGAAAAAAAGAGAAAAACCATTGACTTAATCTACGAGGGGCCCAAATCGGGAATCTCTCGACCCGAGTCTGTATGCAAGAACGCGGTCACCCCTAAGCCAGCTCAATCCCGCACTAAAGATGCGGCCATCCGATCTAGGTCGGTCTTGGCACTTCCTCCAACCGACTGAGAGATGCGCTCCTTAGCATTGAAAACTTCAAACATCAACCCCTGAATCAAATCATGCTGACTCCTCGACGACAGCGCGTGAGTTCACCAACAATTCTAAACTTGTCATTCCTCCCATTAACCATCATAGTGTTATGAAATGTCAAAATCTGCCGTATCTACATCGTAGAGAAATGTTTTTTACTCTTCGGTGAAACCATAATTTAGGTATAGAATGAGTCTTTTTTGTTGACAAGAATTTTTGGCAGAAGATACACCACACAAGGTTGGCTGGTCTATCATGTCTCATGGAGTGGACGTGTTGACCATGTCAATCCTGTCACATCACCAATATAGAAAAATCATGACTAATATTTCAGTCACATCATCAAATTTGGACCTGATTTGATTAAAATTTATTGACGAAAAAAAAGTTTTTATTGATCAAAGTTAATTGATGTACATGAATTATAAAAAGAAAAAGAAATAAAATAAAGTAAAACTTTAGTTCATCACTTCCACTGTATAATTTGGGCTACCGAATGCTTGTTCTCTTCTTGTCTTAGCTTCGAAGAAACTGTTGTTGGTGATTGGTGTACGTCCTTTTCTTACTTCTCGGCCATATATTTGGTGGGTCGTATGAAGCTTCTGACACAATGAGCACATTTTGAGGCATATATCTATCCGCGAGTTTATGCCTAAATCATCCACCTACAACTTAGAAGAAGTGAGTGTCCACCACGTTCGACAGGCATTTAAGAGAACCACATCGGTGGCGAGGACAGGAAGCCCCGTATGTTTCGCTGCCACATTACTTTGTTTAGAAGATCCCACGTTTTAGTGGCTCCATTAGAGATCAAATCTGCATCACTCATTGACCTTACGACATTAAAAGATGAAGCTTTGTCTTCCTCCGTAATGGTGCCTCGTTGTTTCATTTAAAGACTCGAGGATGAGAATACTTTAGAATCATTTCATTTAGAGATTATTTTTTACAATACCATAAATATTATTGAATGAGTCACTATTCATTCAGCGTAGAGACGAGTGGAGCACCAATGTCATCGGCACAATGGATCCCGGAGTGTGCTCCCATTAATGTGGATAGCTGTCAAAATGTGGCTATTCTAACGATAATATGATGCGAGAAATTATTGCATGGTTGATATTAATAATGTTGACAAATTGATGCTGATGCCATTTATTTTGACTCTGCCACATGAAGGATGGAAATTCACATGCCACGGTTCTGACACTCGATGAAGAATCTCAACTTTTCTCCGTCTCCTGTGTTTTAAGTCTCTGATATCAAATTCTTTGGATCCTCTCCTTCATTTATAGGACTTATCTTGTGCACAAGGATCAGCAAATGTGGGTTCACTACAATGAATGATAATGCAAGATCATGCAACCCTTTAACAATAAGCTTTTGTTTTCTTCTCCCCGGATTCATCTCAACTTTGATCAAAGGCCACAGTTGCTACCTTCCCCTGCTAATCAAGTCAAGGTCAAACGCATACAAGAAGAGAGAGAGAGCTTAAGACATCAATTTGAAACCAGAACATAAAAAATTACCAGCACAGAGACATGTTATTATAGAACTAGTAGCAACTTTAATGAATCCCTCTTCCTCAAAGACACCGACCCTCAGCCTCTCTTCTTCTTCTTCCCGTTTCTTTTGTTGTCTTCCAATGGTATAAGAACCTGAGTGCAAGCTATCAAATCTCCTTCCGTTGGATTATAGGCATCCGTTTCAGTGTATAAAGTCTCAACCTGTAACGGCTGAGCACAACTCCAAGCCATGCCCCCCCACACCTACATCTCCGTCACACGGAAGCCCTTATCCCTCAAGCCATTTCTAAGATCACCCGGAGCATCAATCTACAAGCTCCTCCTCCCCTCTCCTCTCCGTGCCGGCCGCTGCTTGCTTCCCTTTCTGGCCTTCTGGGCACTGCTCAGCATATCCCAGCTCCACCCCTCCCTCCCCATCTCCTGCTCTCCTCACCTCCACCATGTCAGGCTGAGCTGGAGGCCCCGACGGGGACCCGTAGACGAGTTCTGGAAATGGGCGCAGTCGGAGGTGCCGCAGCTCGTGCCGTGCACCAACTACAGCGAGCCGCACCGCCATGCGTCGATCTCGGGGAAGTACATGCTGGTGGTGGTCTCGGGAGGGCTGAACCAGCAGCGAAACCAGATCATCGACGCCGTGGTGGTCGCCAGGATCCTGGAGGCGGTGCTCGTCGTCCCGGTGTTTCAGGTCAACCAAGTTTGGGGTGACGACAGGTCCGTGCGTGGTCGGTTCTGCAGATTGGCTTCCCCTTGTCTGAGTTGACACGCACGAAGAGCTAATGCTTTGGGGATGCTTTTTGTAGCGCAGTGAATTTGGTGATATATTTGATGTTGAGCATTTCAAGAAGACGTTGAAGGATGATGTGGTGGTGGTCTCGTCGTTGCCGGCGACGCACATAAGAAAACGGCGAGTTAGGGCGCCGTCGATGCCGTTCAATGCCGACGAGGGTTGGATTCGGAGTAATTACTCGAGCAAGGTGTGTCACCATTAACCCTTAGCAGAAGGTATTATTATTCTAAGTGAAGTAGAATACGAATGACTCGTTTAATTATATGATATGAGTTCCTTTTAGTCCTTTAATTTATTTTTTTCTTCTTCGAGAGGACTTGAAGACGAAGATGCTTAGATAATTAGCTATAAGTTTGTCCTTTTTTCACTCCTTGATCTGAGAAAAAGGTTTGACATTTGCAGCTATAAGAAACTTATTGCATGTGTATCATTGCACTTCATAATATATCTATCCGTGTGTACACTTATTATACATCTACGTATTCCATAACATGCAAAACCATAGGCAAACACGTAATGCAATATAAATGAAATGAGCGTCTAACTTGCATTGCATGCATGACTGGTTTGTACAGCTTGACCGAGACACCGTCTTGCTTCTCCGAGCATTTGACTCCAGGCTCGCAAAGCATCTCAGTGTCGATCTACAAAAGCTTCGGTGCAAGGTGGTTTCATATCGTGGTCACTATAGCCACAGTGACATGACTCGAGTAATTAATCACTCACTGTACCGTGCAGGTGGCTTTTGAGGCTTTAAGATTCAAGCCATGGATCGAGTCACTGGCGAATAGTTTTGTTGAGAGAATGGAGGAAGAAGGACCCTTCTTGGCCTTGCACCTTCGTCTAGAGAAGGATGTGTGGGTGAGGACAGGGTGTCACTCAGGATTGGGTATCGAAGCAGACCTTGCAATAGAAAGAATACGTTCTTCCAAACCACATCTCCTGACTTCACGTTCCAAGCTCACTGCTCAGGAGCGTTCTCATGCCGGTCTTTGCCCTCTGAACGCCAATGAGATATCCAGGTCGACTTCAAGACTACTTGTCATTTGTTCTCATTCATATCCATCATGTTAACAGATCCATCCATCCTAAGTTTAATGTTTATGTCTTTGTTCAGGTTGCTCAAAGGACTTGGTGCACCAAGAAATATAAGAATTTACTGGGCTGGTGGTGAGCCATTTGGAGGAGTAAAGGCATTGCAACCACTCGAGTCTCAGTACCCAAACTTGTTCAACAAATGGGACCTCGCAAATCCTCAAGAACTAGATGGAATTAAGGATAAACCATCCATTATGGCAGCACTAGATTACATTGTTTGTCTCAGAAGTAGAGTGTTCTTGGCAAGCCATGGGGGGAATATGGCACGTTCGTTACAGGTAGGTCTTGTCTCTCAGTGGTGTCTAATGCTTAATATTACTGCTATAAATATTTCCTTTTGATTTTGATAGGGGCATCGAACTTTCATTGGTAGCGGAAAGAACATTAAGCCAAAGAAGAAGTTATTAGTGCAGTTATTCCTTGATGGGAGCTTAACTGATGCAGAGATGAGGAATCGGATACAGCATATACATAGAGAATCTACTGATCTATCATCGATCATGAAAAATCAATCTAAGATCGATGTGATTGCGTTTCCTACACCATATTGCATGTGTAGTGGAGGAAGGAGTAGTAATGTCTCGGCTTCCAATTAGCTTTTCGATCTCATATCCATTAGTTTTTTGTATGGCTTGAATATATGGTTATATAAATATACAAGTAAAATTGTAAAGTGGTTCTTTTACTGAGGTATTTGTTGACTTCGTGTCAATGACCTTTTTGTGTTCTTAAGTTGATGCAGTGTGTTTCTTATTAATCTAATCTAGCCAACACATTGTTCAGATTTAGACTACTCAAATGAAGAAACAAATTAGAACTAGTAGAAGAAAATATTATCCATTTAGTCAGAATAAATTATATATATTTTTTATTTGTATGAATTTAATTTTAAGTATTATGGAGCTTAATTTAATTGATTCAATCCGTATTATCCTTGAATTAATTGAATCCGACCGAGTCGAACCGGACCTCCTCGACCGGCTGGTTTAACAGCTTGCAAGAAACCGCCCGTAGGTGACTCCTCCTCTGCCCTATTTAACGAAAACCACGGAGCGTCCCGATTGAGCAGCGCGCTGACTCCTCGATTCAAGGAGCTCGTGAACACATGGCGATTTCCGGGAGCGCCTCTGCTTACGTCGGCGCGAGGATTAAGGTGGAGGAGGAAGTAGTCCGGAGGGTTAAGGTGGAGGAGGAAGTAGATGGTGAAGAATTCGGTGATGGCGATAATAACAATAACCATCACAAATACGAACCACAACCAGAGGAGGAGGAGGAGGAGGAGAGAGGGCCGGCGGAGAGGATCGATAGCTTAGCTGCGGAGAAGGCCGCGGAGCAGCTGCTGATGACTCGACCTTGGAAGCGGCGCCGCGCTGTCGGGCGGTTAGGCCCAAAACCCTTGCTGTCTCAGAACAGGCACAGGTTGAGCCGCCTCTTGGACCGCCTCGCTAGGGCGCACAGCTGGAAGGAAGCCAGCGGCACCTTGAGCGCCCTCTTGAAGGGGACACCTCGTGCCAGCACCCTGTTGGAGGATCGGAGGAACTTCTTGGTGAGCGTTGCACAGAAGTCGATTTGCTGTCTGTGGTGCTGCTCTTTGCATGATGCACTGGACGCGTTTGTTGGCAGGTCGCAATGGAGATTCAGAGACGTCTTGGAGGAAAGGGGGGCAATTACCAGACCAAGATCAAAAAGATGTACGAGGTTTGGATGAGTAAGCTCGTGTGGACGAAAAAGTGCTCCAAGAAGGTATCAGCTATTCGTCACTGAGCTTTTTGCACTTTCGGTTTCTTAGGGAATTCATTGAGGAACATAAACATGTTTGATGCCATCATAGTGGTTAATTTGTTTCGAACATATCTCGTCTGGCTGATGTATATTAGAAGTCTCGTCACGAACAAAATAATTATGAAAACTGAATGGTCGAGTTCCACCTGGATTTGTGCTGTGTCGAGCTTTATAATTGAGCTGATCTTTTGCTTTCCATGCACCGGCTTTACTCTTTTAACTGCTGGCCTTGATAGTAAACATGGTCCTTTGAAATTCAAAAATATTTGGTGTTAGTCTTACTTTTGTTTATCATATAATGTTTATAGTTTGTCAATTTTCTTCCACAGTACCATATTTAGATCCTCTTTCTATGAAGTTTTTCATGTTTATGTGATCTTTTCACGTGCTGTCTTTGTTTCTTACAGCAATGGGTGTCTATCATCTACCAATCCGATGTTGTAAATTTATTATGCTATTATCATGATATATGCTATTCAATAATTACTTTTGCTATTTGACACGATTAAACCTTTAGTATGCTGCTTATGACATTTCTTCATTCTTAATAATTCCATAGCTCAATACTGATTGTGATTTTACTGCTTAACAAACTTGTATTTTTGTGGTTGATCTCTCTGTCTTCTTATTGTTGAACAGAGGTACTCCATCCAGCTGGAATTAGCTCTATTCTATCTTTCACATGGGAACATTGAAGAGGCATTCAATACTACAAAATTGTATGTATCTTCTCAGATATGATACACAATCTTTTACATCGAAACTATATTATCTAACTATCAACTAATTAACCTCTTTTTATGCATGCATTATGAGTTATGTTATCTATGACCAAGACATTGATTTTGTTGATGCTGTACTTTTCAAGAATGAAGCATCTTTTCTTTTGTCCTTTCTTGGCAATCAGTTTCTTGTTGTACTATATGACAAAGATATGATTATGTATTGATCAGAACATATTAGTTTCTATATGTGTATGCTTATATAGATTTATTGTGATACAGCAATTTGATTAGTCCAATGTCATGTCTAATTACTTTGAATAGTATATGAGTTGCTACCAACTGAAAGAAAACCTTCTGAGTAACCTTAGTTGGGGCCTTGGCATATTTTGGCCCTTGACACACAATGTCAGAGCAACAACCACCTGCAGTATGTGGACCATGTCAGGATCTTAAAACACTGCAGAGGATGGCAACGATGTGGTGGGCTATAGCATTCAGATGCTGGTGATTCATGTCTATGATATGTGTGTGGATCTGATGAGAATGTTAGAAATGTAGGCGGAGATTGTGATATCCCAGTTTGAATAGTCCACATCAGTGTGCCTGATGATGGTGATTAGTGTATAGGCTGTTTTCGGCTGCAGGGGCAGCACTTTCTCAGTAAAGTGTTGGGTTTGGTCCATGTGGGAGCTCGGATGATGACATTCATGAATAATCATATCTTAATGGTTGTTCTAAAGCTAGGGTTGTGTTATTGATTAGATTGGTCAGAGTTTAAGTCATAGTAAGTAGTGTTTTAAGTGTTTGGCTTAGATGGTAGTACCTAGTAGGCTAGTACCTATTCGTCATATAACAGAACCACCATTGTATCTCATGTTTTAGAAATTCATAGCTTGAAAAGTGTATGTGCTGTTGTGACTCTATGCAGATTGGCATATGCCATATTGACTTAATATTGGTATAGTTCCTCATCATGCCAGTGTCTACCAATACAGTGATGGTCTGGCACAAAGCTCATGCTAGTTGGCGTGGAACATATGTTAATCCATGTAAGTCTATATGTACTGTGTTGGTGCTCCTTTGCTGTGAATTGAAAACCTTGTTGTGGCTATTTATCAAGGTGAAATAGAAGTACTTCTGTAGGCATTGTGGAGCAATGAAGGTCCTAAGTTATAGATCACAATAACTTGTCCATTAATTTATCCTATGATTTGTTGTGAGTTGCAGCTTTCAGTAGCATTCAGCTTGTTGTGAAGTTCCTTCCAGAAAATGCCACAGTCAAATTTAACAATAATTAATTTTAATTTTGTAGTTACTCCTTTTAACTGTTTTCATTGTATGTAAGAGTTCACACAATATTAAATAATCAACTATTTTCTTTCCCATTGAGTTCATGGGAAAGGTGAATTCCAATAATTGGTTAACTTTTTTAATAGTTTGTTGGGTAAACAAATAAAAGGGTCTATCTTTTGTTTATATATTATTATCCTATTTCACTAAAATTATGTCTTTTTTCTTCAGTCTTGTTCAATATCATGATTCTGCAAGTGAACCAATTGTGAACCTGATCCATGGGTTAATACTGTATCACATGTGGTATTCTGGTCTCCCAGAAGGCTTGAAAATAAAAGATTTTGACCTTCAGATGGCATCAGAGGCTCTTGATGCAACCTCTTGTGATGGTTATGAAGGACCTGAAATTTTTGCAAGTTCAAATGGGCATAATGCCATTAATACTGAAGATGCCAATTATTCTGCCAGAGTTGCTTCCCAAAGCTCAGTTGGCAATGAAAAAAAAAATTTTGACTTGAAAATTGAGGTGAAAAAAGAAATTGATGATGCTTTTCGAGCTGCTGAACTCCATCCAAGTGGATCTGAAATGAATGATGACCAACCTTTTAACCCTCGTCCACACTCCTTAAACTGTTCTATTTTTCTTGCACATGGTTAGTTCCTCTACACTCAGTTACAAGTTATGCTTCATTACTTGTCTTCTTTGTAGCTATAGATTAAGCTTGTATTTCCTTTTAAGTGGATGCATAATTTTTATTATGTTTACAATGGAATGATGACATTTTTATATTTGAAAATTTATATTTCCCAATAACTAAAAAGCTGAAGTAAAAGTATACAATAAAGATTCATATGGATGTGATCAGCTCATTATTGTTGTTCCTGGGGCACATTTGGTCTACCATTGATTCATTAAGAAGCAAGTTTATGGAATGGTCTTCTTCTAAATCTTGGGTTGATCTTTCTTTTCCATATTTACTTCTGGGTTTGCAGTACGTAGGGTTCATTTTGAACTTGTTTAGGCATATATAAGACCACAGTTTGTAGGATCTCATGGTTGATCCGGTTAATCACTAAGTATATGCGGTCTTTATTTAGGAGTGCTAGAGCACTTAAGCTGAAGGGTGTAATACATGACAGTGATTATTCTTTTTATCCTGTGATATTTTGGGTTATTCTTTCTTTTTTTATCAGTTTAAGGGCCTTAATCGCATGTAACAAGCTGTCTTCTCTTCAGTTTTCTCTTTTTCGAAAACCTGGATAAGAAATGTCTGTTGTTTGAAGTTTGAACCTAATAGGGAAGGCCATTGTGTAGCCTCCATGTTGTTGTCTTCTTCTTTCTTATAAGTTCAAGTGGGCTGTGGTTGTTTTAGTTCACGTAGGGCTGCAAAATGTATGTGGCGTGAGAGCGTTTAACTAATGCATCCATGGGAATCTTATGAACTCACAGCCTACTGACACTTTGACATTTGTAGTAAGAATAAAGATACAAGTTCCACTATGTCATGCTTCTAAGGTTAGAAGCTATTAGTGATCAGACATTTTACTTACACCAAAAGGTTGCAGAAATTTATATAAATGAAATTTTGGCTTACAGGGATTTCTCATTTAGTGATACACTAAAAGGGCGAACCAGTGCATGAATCACAACTCAAATCTTGGTCACCTTGGTCACAGAAGAGCAATCTTACATTGTACAATGGCTCACTTTCGATCTAATTGATGACCCACTACTGACCAGAATTGAGCCTAACTGCATAATGAAATGCATCTTAGTATTATAGTAATCTAAAAATCATGAAAATATAGACATGTCATCAGTAGCTAAAATTATGAAAAGAACCTCCATCACAAGACTAGTTAGGTAACTCATATCCACTGTTTCATGAGAAGCATCTTGCAACTCAATCAGAACAAACTGATCAATGAATAATTTCTTTTTCTCAACTTTAATGGCAGATGTTGGGGTAACCATGCTTAACCATGGAGCTTACTCTGGTCATGTTAGATTAATCCAATTGTAGTTTCATGTTACTAAACGAATGATGCAGGACTGGGAAGTGAGTAGACAGCTAAAGCTTGAGGTTTTAAATGAGAAATTGCACAAAAAACATGCAATCAGATCAAATTTTATCACCAATGGTCTAGAGTGTAACATAAGTATGAGGAAAGAAAACATATGAGGAGCACATGAACTTAAACTATATAGGGTTTAAATATTGGCAAACATTCTTTATTGGCCACGAGATGAACTATATTTATGAAATGACCACATTAAACTTTTATTGGCAATTTATTTTGCTTGAACATAGATTTCCACTTATGCTGATATGGTTGTTGCTTCCCATTGGCTTCATGCCATTGGTTGTGAGGTAAATTTCTTTTGCAAACCTTTTAAATGTATCACAGGATACTAATCTTTTTGAAGTTCTTGTTTAGTTCTATTTTGATATATTGACATGAATTTGTGCTAACTACAAGTTGCCTGTTTGGGCCTCAGAAGAAAAGGTTGTGGTCATGACTCACTGCAGTATTGTTTATGTTTGAAAGGATTGGAAAAATGTTTGCTGCCTGTACAATTGGATCATTTGACTGGGGATCTGGAGCATATTATATGCTCATACAGAAGGTTGGTCAATCAGTATTATAACGATGCAGTGAAACATTTGAGGCTTGCTCTTCACTCTACACCTCCATTATTGGCAGCCATACTGCCTCTTGTACAGGTATCTTGTTCAACATTATATTTGTGAGGACCAGCAGATAATTCTTTTAATATAAAATTGAACCATAATGTCTATTTCTCATGTATCGACAGTTGTTCCTAACTGACCTCAAGTATTTGGATATAAGTCAACATGTTTAATATTTCATGTTCTGTACTTTTGGTTCCTTTGATTATTAAACAAGGCAAAATAAGATTGTTTTAAACTATTTAAAAATAATAAGTACACAATTCTGTTACTACATCTAACTTCTGCCTGGATGTGATGTACCTACCACAAAAAAAGTATCAATCAATTTCATCTGGTGTTTTAGCTTAATTATTGATTCATTAATCAATCTATGCCTTTAGCAAATTCATGAAAATATAAAATGAATTAAATTCTCGATTTCCATTTGTCATTATTAAATGAGGAAACTGTAAGAAGATTTTGTAGAATAAGAACTGATGGAGGTGCTTACAATCACAGTTTTAAATCTCAATACCAGATCCACAAGGATTCCTGGCTGTGTCAGTACGGATCAATTACATATTGGCATACTGACATAAGGTATGTTGGCATTTCGGTTGACACCAAGAAGGGGGTGGAGGAGAAGAAAAAGGGGAGGAAAGGTGGAGAATGAGAGTGGAGTAGGCAGAGGTGGAGGAGAAGTTTTGTTGGCTGGCGGCAATGAGTTACAGGAGGTGTGAGATGAATCAGTGGAGAGAGGATAGCTTCTAGAAATGGTTGTATTTGGATATCAGACTTGGTGTTGTTGGTCGTGATGTCATCTTGCTTATCCGAGCCTTCATATTACTACCAGTTGCATTCATATGGTTGAATTGGTTGAGTTTTCTGATGTTAGCTAGAGGTGGGGTTTTTGCACGATTGACTATATATACAAGCTGCATAACTTTATGGAGTTTCCATAATGATGTCCGGTGGAGTAGTGATACGTGGCCCACAAAGCAGCTACCATATTTTTCACTTGGATATGTAACAACAATTTTTAGCTATCAGGTTCCAGGAAGAATATCGAGGCCTAGGAACATGCTTCTAAAATTTTCCACTTCCTTTCCATTATTATAAATAAATCATATGCATTTAGTGGTTGAGTCAGCCCTTTATCATAGAGATCAAAATTTGTAAGAATTGTTGGTTTGCTAACTTAAAACACCAACTTTAATTTTCACTTGGCATGAGTTTGATTATTTAACTGCAAGATCCCTCTAGCACACCTTTACTTGAAAAGGGAGCAGATTAAAGTCATCTTAAGATGATTGAGCATGTGAGATTTTCTAGAATGTGTTTTATCTTAGTGAGTTGTGAGAGTTCTTTTTTTTTTCTCATAGTCTATGCACTTTAAAGAATGCATGAAGATTGTTAAAATAAGTTTGTTACAGCAGTGAAGAAATTTCTTTTGACCTCATCTGATGGTCATCTGGTTCAACTTTAGTACACCATCCAAACTAACGTTCTTTTAACAACAAGAACTTGATAAACAGAAATTGTTAAGCCAGCAAGCTCCTTTTCACCGACACGGTTTTTAGATCTGTTCTTTTGTATGAAATGAACTTAATAGAGTGACACTTGTTATTGTCATTTTTAAGGAAGTAAATGTTTTCTGTAGGACAGCTGCATTCATCTTTAATATCATCTCTAGGATTCATTTTCATTACTTCTTTGCATTGAAATGAGAGTTTTTCCCTTAATTGACATGCATGTATTTACAATTGAGTGCTATTTAGGTTGGCTGTTCTGATTAAAGTATTACTTAGTGGCAGTATATTATTTTGTCAGCTTTGCATCCCAAGGAAGTGACGTTGCAGGAGCTGTGTGTTTCACTGTTTTGATTCTGAATAGAATATGCTTCAGAACAATTTGTTGCTCATTATCAAAATTATGTTTTGTCTCAAAACAGTGAACACAATTGTGCTGAACATGTCATCATTGAGTCAATTGTTCATGTCTGTTCTGTTTTGGTGTGCTTCACTAGCATTACTTAATAATTATTTACATATTTACTTGGACTAACATTGTAAAAAGCATATTTAAATCAGGGTATCATTTTGGTCTTTTTTTGGATATGCTCTCTAGCTGATATTTCTTTACTGCCAGCTACTTCTGCTTGGTGATCGTGTTGACGATGCATTAATGGAGCTGGAGAATTCTTGCCAGAATTTCAGCGTTGCACTTCCTTTCAGGTTTCTTGAGCTGAGTGATTTCTGGTGTTCTTTTTAGATCTTTACAATGCCCATTTATTAATATCTAGGGTCAAACTTTTACAGTAACATCCTTGTTCATCCTATAGACTAGTTCACTTAATTAGCTATATTTTTCACCAAGCCTATTAACAGCTCTTATGTATTTAGCATCAGTGATGGCAATAAGTAGCTGCAAAATCAGGTGGGAAAACTTCCTTTTTTTCTCTTTATTAATAAAGGCACAATACATTACACATAACATCTGGGGCTACTTAATGTGCACAACTTTCTGGCAATGTTTAGTTTCCAAGTTATTCTGGTTTAAGGTAATTGTAATCTTGTGAAGTAGGATTCTTTTTCATTTTCTGTTTCTTAAACACCTAAGTTAGTGCAGCATCCAAACAAAAGATTTCTGTAGCCACGGTCTGTGCATAGTGCTTTCACATTCTCTGGGGTTCATCATGCTAAATTTAACCAGTATGATTATCGTATCATGGAACTGAGGATAATTGTTTCAAATTGTTGTCAATTTTTCTTTCAAAATTGTATGAGAACACATTATAACTGAGAATGGAACAGAGGAGGAAATTAATCTTTTTTTTTTTCCAGTGGCTGTCGTTATATCTATTCAAGCATAATCTTTTTGCTTTCTTTCTTTCCACCGTCAACAATATCTCGAGGTGAATACTTCCATATTTGTTCAATGATATTGCCTTACCCATCTTCTATTCTCCTTTCTCACTCCATTTGTGTCTCTATCACTGTCTTTTATCTTCTATTCTTTTATGTAGTCTCCTTGTATATCTTTCTCTATTCTCCTGTCTTCATTTTACAATATCCTTGATAATAGTTAAATGGCTTTTGACCTTGTTAATTTATTCAATTAATTCCTGCCTCAAATTTCTCTTAAGGCACTGGTGAATGGCTTCTTCTTGCATTTGTTTAAACTGTATACTCTTTTCTTATGAATCATCCTTCTTTGAACTTAAAAGATCTGCAACTTCTGCTAATGTTCTTTTATTTATTTTTTTTGCCAAGGTAGATCTCTTTACCTAGTTTATGACTCTACTCTGTCCCATTTGGAAATTATCACAGCCGTCTCACTTTTTTATTTCCTTTGAATTATTGTTAAACTTTGGCATGGATTAAGGTCGATGTGTGCTTGGTTGGTTTTATGATTTTGAATGGATGTGATGATGTGGGTGGCCTCTTTATTTGACAAAGTATTGGAAAGATCGTCAACATTTATGGTGGGCCTAGTGTGGGACCTAGCCTGTTTTAGATTCATATGTAGGGCCTTATCTGGACCTAGAATCTCGTTGGGCCTAGTTTAGGTTTTTTTATGTTTCTTGTAGTTTAGTTTCAAATGAACATCTTATGATATTGTTCAATTTGTTATTATAGTTGAATTTTTCATTCCTTTTGACTTTTTATAGGGCTTCCAGATTTTCTTACGGTGCTCTGTCTTTTTATTGATTATTTGTTTACTTCAGGTGCACTAATTGCTTGAAATTTTAATTTATCTTTTGTTTGTGTTAAACTTGCCATTTCTCCTTCAGATTGAGGGCTAGAATTTTGGAGGCTTTTCGGAGCAGTCAATTAACTGCTATTCATAGATGCTATGAGGATGCTTTGACAAGGGACCCTTCGTGTAACCTGTCACTTGAAAGGCTAATTAAAATGCATAGAAGTGGTATGGCCTAATCATAAGTATTATCTTTGATATGTGCTGAGTTTCATAGTTTACGTAAGTTGTAGCTACGTAGCTTTTCTTGCTGTCTTTTATGCCTTCTTGTATTGTTGTTGTTTTTCAAAATGACTAATTATTTTCCGTTACTTTGAAATTGACATAAGATGTTGATATATTCTAGTAAGATTTTGCTTATATGCCAAAGTATGGACTTCCAGAGCAGCCTGCGAATAGGAAAAATATGTAAACCAGTCAGATATTTATGAATTTTAAGTGACGAATTTGAAGTGAGGAAAAAGTGACAAAGTGGGAACCCTACAGGTCTCCCAGTGAGATCTCACAATAATCCTAGCCATCGACAACGATGGCTTGCAGCATGTGGTAGCAATCATTGGAGCAAGTACCTGGAAGATGTGATGGGCTGAAATGGCGGAAGGAGGTGGTAGTAAAACAGATGAGATGGCTAGATTGGTCAGTGCTATAATATATCAAGTGTTTCTTACACTCATAATTGGTTTGTATATCTTTTTGTCTTGCTACCTACTTCTTCCCACATCTTATCATCCTCAATGACATGCAGTTGGAACGATAGCTGGCAGCAGTTGCTTCAAGGTTCCCATTACTCGTTTGTCCTCTTCTTGTCCTTCTTCGTCCATGATAGTAATCGATCAGTCTGAATCAGTTGATTTCAAGCTGAAATGATTGACTCATAATTTCTTGTGTTAAAATAGGTTATAATCTGTGCCAACCAGATCTAATTGGAATTGCAAACCATGGTTTCTCCTTTTTTTTGTGTTTCAGGTTTTTGTGCTTGGGAATTAATATAGGTTCCTACTGTCATAGGTTGTCCTTTTTACTTTATTGGTAAGACTTCCGAACGTAGGAAACTTCTGAGAGTTGTTTTTTCGTAGGATGAGCACAATTGCAGCAGAGAAGGTATTTATTTTTACCAATAAGTCACCTCGAAGGTGATGAAGTTGGTCCACTGTATGCCTAAATTTGCCTTGGCTAGACACCAACTTTGGAGCATCTGCATAGGTGTAAATATGCCTATGTAGATTTATATTGAGTCAAAGAGTGGCAATTTCTGTAGTGTTGCTTGCTTATGATGGTGGTATTTGTTTCTGGCTGGGGGGAAGTTGGTTTGCGTATAGGAGTTGGATGTCTTGAGTAACACATAGGAAAATGTCGGAATGTTGTTTACTTGTGTTGGCTTTAATTTAGGAGATTAGTAGTGGCTATAGCAGGCCTACAGCTATCTGAATCTTGTTTAAGATGCAATAGAGCTTCACATCTCAAGGAGAAGAGGGAAGGGAGGTTGACAGGTAGGAGAATTTGGTCTGTTAGATGATAGGAATGAGTGGGTGAATGATGTGTGGGTCCAGGAGGAGGATCATGAAGGCAGACCCTGTAATTTTCTAAAATTTTTGTGACATATCAGGGAAGCTGGAAAGCAAAGGAAAACGAGGCAAGTCTTGAAAGAGGTGGGTATGGCTGGGTCTGACCTGTTCTAAGTTCATATTTACACATTTATGTGATGCACATTATTAAACTTTTACTGTTTGTGCATATTATTCATATACAAGAAATGTACATTTGGATATACTTTATATATGTCTACATGTTTGTATATAGTTTCCACATGTATTCACTTGTGTTTACACATATATGCATGTGTGTATTTGTCTGTGTTTGAAATTTTTTGAATTTTCTTGGTGCTGCTTCACTTTGTGGTGACATATGGGCGACAATTCCCAGACCTCCTAACAGATTAATGGATTGCTAACTAAATATATATTGAACAACTAGTTACTTCATTCTCCTTATGAATATATGTGCTGATTGCACGGTTCTGAGTATTAAAAATGATTTGTTATGATATTAACTGATTGGCCTTATTGAATATCAGTATGTGGTGAAATGCCAGTCAAGATGTTTTTAACCTACGCCGTTCTGTTTTCTCACTTCTTTTAGGTAATTATGATACTGTACCTCTCCTCGAGATGATAACTTTGCATCTAGATGCTACTGATGGGAGGTCTGGCGTATGGGAAGAGTTTGCTTCGTGCTTCCTCAAGATTCTTACTTCCTCGGTAGCCGATTATGAAGACCGTGTATCAGCAAATGGACAAGGAGGTTCAGCTGCTATCATATCTTCTAATAAAATTCCTGGAGTTTTTACCGAGGGTCAAGCAAGAGAATCATGGAAGGTTCGTTGTAGATGGTGGATAACACGTCACTTCAGCAAGAATGCTTATCTCCAAGATATGCAATACAGTAAGTTGTCCAATTAACTCCTAATCAATTTAGATGTTTTTCTTCTCCTGCAAATGAACATACGAGTAAGAAACACAAAATTGGAGGGCTTATATACTTCTGGCGGTCCAGTTTTGTGGGAGATGATTAATTCGTAATCTGTAACCTGATTCGATTCCAGAATACAGAGAGAGATATCATGATTGTCAGAGGCAATCATGATATCATGATTCCTAATCTGTAATCTTATTCCACCCTCCTGTTCCTTGATAGTTACTTCCGCCTTCATGAAAAATAACAAAATGTCATTTACAGATGTATGGTGTGATGCATGTCCAGGATAAACCTTTATACGTCTGTTGTTTTCCATTAGTGTTTTTTTTACTTTTGTAGCCATCTTTTCCAAGAGAGATGACCCTTTACCATCTAACAAAACACAACCTGGATCCTTCTAGGTTGCAATTTTTGTATTATCCATGTTTCCTGTGCCATATCTAAGCATTCCATTGTTGCAACAGGTGACCGGAAACTCCTTGCCACTAAAGCAGCATGTGCATCTCATATTTATGGCCCAAATTTTGAGTACGTCAAAGCTGCTTTATGCAGCCTGACAAACAAGGTAAATATTGTTCAGTTCTCGTTCTTGCAAGCACACATGGAGAAATCTATGAGGTTACATGAAAATTTGACTGCACTTAGTACCTTGTAAGGAAGGATTTTATGCAGAATTTAATCCTTTGGGTGGGAAAAATCTCTATTGTGGTTTATTCTTTCTCAATGGAATTTGTAGCGTTTATAATTTGCTGCCGCAGCTGTGTTCAATAGATGCCTGTGCTGATTATTCCTGTGGTTATTGTTACATTTGTCTTCCTGGATGACATGGATTGTGCATGTCAAAACATATGCTGTAGCATTAAGCTAAACGTTTATATACATGTCAACTGAATAATATTTCTAAGAAAGTTTTCTATGATAATAAGATTGTTCTCATCTTTTCTTTTACGTTATGACCAATTCTCGGGTTGGGATAAAAAGGTCAACTACAATTTAACTCAACTAAGGTTAAGCTTGTTTTAACATTTTCTGTTTTACAAAGATTTGCTTCTTCAAATTTTTGTTGCTTCCTTTCATTTAGTTCAGTATCAAATGCATCAACATAAGTGCTAGAGAGGCTTCACAATTAGGCATATGGGTTAGGATTATAGATGATAATATTTCATATGGGTTAGGATTATAGAAATTTTGACAATTATATAGTCATGACGATCAAGGTGCCTTATAGTTAACCATTTGGTTCATGTGTCACCCACTATTCGAGACGCAACGGCACATACCTTTCCACATGTTAGACCAATACAAGATTGAACTTCCCCTTGTCATTGGTTTTTCATTTTAGAAATTTTTTGTGTTATTTTTTCAAAAATTTCACCTATTTTCTCTCTCTTTTTTTTTAAATTTCTACCAAAAGATAATACATCCATGCAATGTTTTCTAACATCTGAGCGTATATAAATGTCCACAATATATGGAGAAAACTTGGTCTAGAAAAAACAAATTATAATATGCAATGCATTGTTTTTAAAGAAAAATAGAAAATAGTGCATCGCGGAGATGTACTATTCAAAATGATTTGAAATTTTTTAAAAAACTTTGAATAGATGGACATATGTCACTAGTTTCCTATTTTAGGGATTATTTTGATATTTTTCTAAATTTTTTAATATTTGAACAGTGATTTATTTTTTTTATTTTCTCCTTTTTTAATTTATACTAAAATACAATGCATCCATATAATATTTTTTGACATTTGAGCTTCTATATGGGTCCACAATATATGGAGAAAATTTGGTTCAGAAAAATAATTTCCTAATATGCTTTTGGAATAAAAATAAAAAAATAATACATTGCATAGAAGCACTTGTTAAAATGATTTAAGATTTTTAGAAAAACTTTGAATACAACACAGATAGACAATATACCATTGGCTTTCTATTTTATTATTTTTTATTTTTTAGTATCTCAAGGTTTTTTATTTTCTCCATATTTATTATATTTAGATAATGTTTGATTTAGTTATCAACACTAATTATTTTGGCTTTAAATAAGAATTAATCATGTCATCAAATGCTTATTAGCTTATTATGAAGAGTGTATATAGTGCATGAAGAGTGTATAAGAGTGTATATTAGCTTATAAGCTATATAGTGTATATAGCTTATTTAGTTATGAACATTAATTATTTTGGCTTTAAATAAGAATTAATCATGTCATCAAGCCACAAGAATGCTGCTTTAAGCATAAATATATTTTTGTTTATATTATTTTAAAATTAATTTAAAAATTATCGTCGATAATTTTTTAATTTCATTTTATAATTTTATATTGGTAATCATGGAACAAGTCATTCTGATGACGACGAAGAGGGGTTGAAAAATAATTTAAATTGGATAATTTTTGAATGAAGTCTTATGGATTATTTTCATCACTTCCTTATTGCACCTACTAAGCATAGTCAATGGTCTCGTTATCATCAAGGCAATGTTAGGAATGGGTCTGACACTAAGAGGGGGGTGAATTAGTACAGCGGTAAAATAATATCAATTTAAAAACTTTATTACGATAAAACCAGTTTCATAAAAATATTAACTTGAAATTATATGGAAACATAGTGAAGGAGGAATTCATTTTGCAATAAAGATAAATAGCAAGAAGTAAATGCAGACTAGATTTTAGAGTGGTTCGGCCGTCGTGACCTACATCCACTTCGTTGATTCTTCTTCCGTCGAGGCCATCGGCATCCACTATCGATCTTCCTTTAATAGGCGAAGATCAACCTCCTTCTTATAACTCGATTCTCCTTTTACCGGGTTTAGGAGATAAATCTTATACCTCCACTTACTCCTCTCTTAAACTATTCTAATACTTAGAACTTTGAGAGAAATTCACATAAGATTGTAGCAACGTTTCTTTCCTTTTTTACTCTCAATACTTGTGTTTGTTAACTAGAGATGAGAGGGGTATTTATAGGCCTCAAGTTGATTCAAACTTGGAGCCTAAAAACACCTCATCTCGAGTTTCCTAGGTACGGGCGGTACCATTGTCTATGTCAGTCTGACACTGACACTGCGTTGGGCGGTACCACCGCCCAAACTGACGATACCACTACCTGACACCCTGCCAGGGATGGTACCACTGCCCAGACTGGCGATACTACTGCCTGACATAGTCTCAAAGACTATGCCACGATGGTGTCGTCTCTTGGGTCATTGTTTGGGCTTTTCATTGGGCCAAACACAATCCTTACATAGGCCCAACTAGCCCATAATTGGGTTGGCTTAATTCTAATCCCAATTACGTGCTAACTATGATTTCTAAAACATATTCTAAGCTAAACAACTCCGTAAGTCTAGTTTCTTCCAGCGAGCTTCCGTTGAGCTTCCGACGATCTTCTGGTGATCTTCCGACGATCTTTCGACAATATTCCAGCGCACTCCCGGCAAGCTCCTAGACTTCACGACAATCTTCTTGGCGAGTTCTGACGAGCTTCTTTGGCAAGTTCCTGGACTTCTCGGCTGGTTCCTGCAGAACTTTCGACGAATGTTTGGAATTCCGACGAACTCTCGAACTCACAACGAAATCACGTCCTTTAACTCCGGGACTTCATTTTGCTTTATGCCTTACTATCGTAGTTAATCCTGCACATGTAAAAACACACTTCGATCTAGACAATTAATACTAAACATTAATCATGTTGTCCGGTATGTCATTGGTCCCTCGACGCTTCGTTCGATTCTTCAACGCATCATCCTCTCTTGCGGCCTATTGCCCAATCGGCCAATTGAATCTGCAACTCCGATATCCTTGGCGCAATATCTGCTCTTCTTGGCTCAATGCCAAATCCATGGCCTAAAGTCTTCTATCGATACATCGACCAATCCACCGGCTCGACGTCTAATCTTCTGACATGTTTTCCCCCGGCCTAACATGATTCTTCCTGCTTTAATTATCTCATCCTGATCGAAGCATCATGCGTCACTCAAATTGCATATTAAATCATAAACACTTATCAATTTGTTTCATCATCAAAATCTGAGATTAAAAATTTCTCCCTTTTTGATGATGACAACCAATTGATGACGGAGTTAACTAAACTCCCCCTATCAATATGGCATATTTGAGTTAAACTCTTGGATTCAAAAATCCAAGCAACATATTATCATAAACTTATGCATAACATCATATTTCGCCCCCTTTGTTATCAACAAAAAGGAGAAGTGAAACTTTTAATATGTTTAGACATAATTTCAACTCATTGCATAATAAACATAATCTTTAGTTTTATCATCATACAATTTATAAGCTAGCAAATAATTTTGAGTTTTGCAAGTTTATAAATTTTGCTAGACTTACAAGTTAGCATATTTTGTTTCTTGCGATGGGCAAGACAACACTTCTTTGTAATGTTCAAGATAGCAAGTTCAACATCATGCAAGCTAGCAAATTAGAAATGTTCAAAAAAGCAACTCTTGCTTCTTGAAACATGCAAGTTGCAAGCTAGCAAATTTTTGCTTCCTTTGCAATGTTTGAGCTAGCAATATTACTTCCGTTGCAAAATGCAAGTTAGTAATGTTTGCATCTTGAGCTAGCAATATTTCTCCCCCTTTGTCATTGTCAAAAAGAAGGAAAGATTACAATATTATAATTCTTTTTTCCTTTACAATAATTTTTAATTTATGACAAAGGTAAACAACAAAAATGAATGTCAAAAGATCATATATCATTTTTGACAAGTTTCTTCTTTTTGTAAATAGAAAGCATGATAGGAAACAATCTTGATTCAAGAATAAAACTCAAGTTATAAATCAAGAATTAAAGAAAATCATAATTCATTTGATAAAAAGATTGTTGATTGATACAATTAAACCAACATCACTTCAACTCAATCATGCATAATTTCAAAATATAAAATCATAAAAAATGATACAAACATTTGTGTTCAAAACCTTCATCATTACTCCCATGCATGATATTAAAGCATTCATGATACCGATCATTAAATCATTAAATCAACATTTTGATCATTTATTTTTTTATAGCAATTGGCAAAAAGAAACATAAGAGAAAAAATGATATAATATCTTGATTGATGCATAAAAAATCCTCTAGTTACAAAACTCGAAAAATCAAAATAAAGCTCATTCAAATTCAATTTGTTAAATCAAAATCATTTTCAGAGATTCATAAAAAGGACATAAATAGATTCATTAATATCTCCTTTTTAGAAAAATGGTAGAAGTTCAAAATATGATTCATAAAAAATATCATAAGTTATAATTAAGAGAAAAATCATCATTTATTCTCATTCATTCAACTTGTCAAATCAAAATATATATCATTGTTTAATATGAATGTGCAAGATTTATCATAAAAATCATCAAGATCAATAAATCATAAAAATCATCATGTATAACATTAAAATCTCATGCATAAAATCATGAATCATGGTATCAAAACATTTAATATTTTTATTACATTATTATGCATCATTAAATATACAATCGTCAACACTTACACTATTTTATATAAACATGTCTTTTTCATTTATGCCAAATCAAAATATGCATTATTTTTTAAACAAAAAAAGTCACTTTTATTACCGTAAAAATCGATAATCCATAAATCACAAAAATATTCATGCATCATTTCGAAAGAAAAACTCATTAAGCATGATCATTATACATTACTTCAAATCAAACATGATTTCATTTAATCAAAATCAAGAAATAATACAGAAATCAACATGATACACATGATTGCTTCTTAAACACATATAGCATGATTTCATAATGCATTTTTAATCAAAATTATTTTGTTT